GTGCCTCCCCAGCAGCTCTTGGGTTCGTTAAAATCCCACTTTGTGTGGAAAACTCTTCATTTTTTTTTTTACCCCATCCGCTTGGTTGGTTTAATTATATTTTTTTTGGGGGGGTGAGGGTCGTTTTCGTTCATTTGGTCTCTTCTTGAGTTTTTATCGTTTACCAAAGAACAGTTTACAAATAAATTCAAGTACTGCTAGAGCGGAGCCCCTCTTTCCCCATCCCCACGGTGGGCTGGGGGGCGGCAGGAAGAGGTGGGACCCCCACCCGGGATGTGGCTACTGGGTGGGGGCGAGAGCCGGAGCTTTTCAGAAAGCCCCTATAGAATGAGGGTGTTGGAAAATCCCTGGGGAGCAGAGTGCAGGCAGGCTGGGGACACTGCTGTCCCCAGCTTGGTGACCTCCGGGACAGCACACTTCCCAGTAACTCCCAGTTACCCCTCCCAAAGCCTCAGGCACATCCCGAGGGTTGTGCCCCCGCCTTCCCCAGTTTAGGAAACCAGTCCCGGGGTGGCGATGCTGGTGGAGTCGCGGTGCCACCTTTCCCACCAGTGGCAGGGGACACCCCGGTGTGTGTCCCCCACCCAGTGGCCTGGCAGCAGGGTGGGTGCTGGGGGCGGCTGTGCGTGAGGGTCCCCTGCACACCCCCACGGGTGTCAGCGGGAGCGGGGCGCAGGCGTGGGTGGGGGCCATGGCGCTGGGGTGAGTGCGGTGCTGGGGGCGAGTGTGGGGGGCAGCCCCTGTACTGCCCACTATGGCCCAGTTCAGCCCTGTATAGCCCAGTATGGTGCAGTGTAGTCCTATACGGCCAAGTACAGCCCATTATGGCCCAGTACAACCCTATACAGCCCAGAATGGTGCCATATAGTCCTCTATGGCCTAGTACAGTCCTGTACAGCCCAGTACGGTGCAGTGCAGCCCAGTATGGTGCAGTGCAGTCCTATATGGCCATGTACAGCCCAGTATAACCCTGTACAGCCCAGTACAACCCTATACAGCCCAGTATGGTGCAGTACAGCCCAGTATGATGCAGTACAGTCCTGTATGGCCCAGTATGACCCAGTACAGCTGTGTACAGACCTGTATGGTGCAGTGCAGTCCTATACAGCCCAGTACAGCCCCATACAGCCCAGTATGGCCCAATACAGCCCTGTACAGCTCCATATGGTCCAGTACAGCACTGTACAGCTCAGTATGGCTCAGTATAGCTCAGTATGGTGCAGTGCGGTCCTATACAGCCAAGTACAGCCCCACACAGCCCGGTATGGCCCAGTACAGCCCTGTATGGCTCCATATGGCCCAGTACAGCCCTGTGCAGCCCAGTATGATGCAGTACAGTCCTGTATGGCTCAGTACAGCCCAGTATGACCCAATACCACCCTGTACAGACCTGTATGGCCCCATATGGTGCTGTACAGTCCTCTGTGGCTAAGCACAGCCCAGTACAGCGCTGTACAGCCTCGTATGGTGCAGTACAGTCCTTTGTGTCCCAGTACGGCCCAGTACAGCCCGGTACGAGATGGCCCAGTACAGCCGAGTACGGCCCAGTACAGCGCAGGAGCGGGCGGGCGGCGCGGCTGCAGCCAGACCTCCCGGCCGCCAGCGGGCGGGCGTCGCGCCGGCGGCCAGCCCCCCCGGCCGCCAGGGGGCGGGTGTCGGCGCGGTCCTGGCGCGGGGCGGTGCATGCGCGGGGT